CTTTTTAGTGCCCCTGAAGGTATTCATGAATGTTAGATAAGGGTGAGCTTATGAGGGGATATTATTGGAAGGTTTAACGTATTTGTTAACGAAGGACTGGAGCGAGAGGACGGGTAACTATTGATAAAGGACCGTAGTATCTACTCACTACTTCCAAGATAGATAACATAGGATATGGAATGGAATGCAGATAATGATGGCTAGGATACTAAGCAAAGAAGCCGAATTGATCCGATCGATCTTTTGATACCCGATCGTGTCGATACTAATCTTCCCGAGTAAGAGCAACAAAAGCGCCTTGAAGACTAGGAAGTTACCTCATCTTTATGGACTACCTTGGTCCCCAAGATGATGTTCGAACTAGAGGCCCCTTCAAGAACTAGAGGACTTGCCATTGCCAATCTCCCCCGAGGAAGAGTAACAAAAGCTCTCTGTGTGCAATCCATGCAATCACATACCAGAGCACATTTTGACTTTATATCCTACCGTAAATCCCAAGGTACCATTAGGTTAGAATACCGCCTCGATCCCATTCCATTGACAAGGCTCGTTGCCACCCCCTTCCCTGATCAAGGTCAATGAAAAACAGCCAAGCACACAACACTCATGGATCCTAGACTAGAACATTTTCTCATCTTCATACACTAACAAAGAGCCATGGAAATTCCTAATCGAGGAGGCTACCCCGTGGATTCTATACTTTGATATTTTCCTCTAAAGCTAGGGGGTTTCACAACTCTCAAGCACCGCCTGCTCAATAGGCTTGAAGAAAAACCTCAATAGCCGAGAGAGTGTAGAAGCCAAAACAAAGTAAAAGAAATTGTCCATGGTATGAAACCCTTTCTTTACTCCCTTAATGATATATCCCGAGTTTCTTCATACTCTCAATGCCTCCCACGTCTTGCCTAATCACGCTCCACCTCGGACGTATTCTGAAGTGAGTACTAAAACGCAAGGGATGGAGTGTGATACCTAGATATATAAAGGACACACATATGCGACGACAAGGCAAGACTATGCATTCTGGTACTTTCAAGGGAGAACTTACCATCACCCCCCCCCTACGAATGGAATACAACTATGATGCTATTTTCCATCAGGAAGACTGTACAACTTTATCAATAGCTCAAGAACGTAGGACATACATACCCTACTACTTATAAACCGGGGACAAGCTAGACTATTATTTCTCTCCTTTCATCTGACAAGTACGGAGAGTCGGTCAAGTTGAACTGAGATTGACGACCGAAGATACACAAACATGGACATGCACATAAAAACCAGACTCTCCACCAAGAAAAACATGAAGGGCCTCCCACAATCACAGAGATGAACATCACTCTTCAGTCACAGCGGTATGGAACCAAGAAACAAGCATTGAACCTCCAGTCAAGATCACATTACAGAGCGTCTAATTATTTGCCCATCTGATCGTCGACCATGCCCTCCATACATACGATACAAGGACCCGGCCCTCGACCTTCCCGTCAAGAGCATTTGTTGCACCAGCCGTCATAAACACCGTAAACTTGCAAGCGTACAAGAAAGTGGGCAAAGATGCCAATTCTCTCTCAAGTACCAGGCAAAAACTTTCCTTTCGTCTAAACCCATGATGATACCTGAACTATGGCTCTCCCAAGTCCACTCCCCCAAACACACATATTTCATTTCATTTATACCGTTTAAGCCTTGAACTCCTCAACACCGCTGGCCTCCCATCTGCCGGGGACGAGGGCCAAGGGCACGATACCGGAGACGTGCATCTCGGGGCCAAAGATCTTGGCGTTCAGGCCAAGTTCTTGGGTGGCGGCCTTCATGTTCTTGAGACCCTCCTGGTAGTTGGGGCCGGCACGACGGACCCAGATCTGGCACTTGTGCTCGTTGAGCTGCTTGGCGTAGTCGCGGAGGGCGCGGATGACACCCTTGAATGTGCTGGCGACGTTGGTAAAGTTGGCAATACCACCACCGATGAAGAGGACCTTGCCCTCCTCGGTCAGGGGAGCGCGGAGCATGAGGTCGAGGACGGTGCGGGCGTAGTGGTAGGTCTGGGACTCGGTGGGAGCACCAGAGTACTCACCGTAGTTGGCGAGCTCGTCGGCGAAGCCGGAAGAGGCAATGGCATCGGCGTAAACGACGGAAGCACCACCACCAGCGACCAGAGTCCAGATACGTCCGTTGGGGTTGAGGACGGTAAGCTTGAGGGAGGCACCGGTCTTGGCGTCAAGGTCGGCGATGTAGGCCTCCTCCTTGGTCAGCTCACGACCGAAGGGAGCGGGGAACTCCATCGGCGGGCCAGCATCGATGTTGACCTTCTCGCCGTTGGCGGCGGCGACGTTGGTCAGGCCGAGAGCGGCGGGGGAGCGGGCAATAGCCCACTTGACACCGCACTCAAAGTCGGCAGTCTGGTCGAGCTTGGCAGCAAGATCGAGGAAGTGCACAGAGGCGGAGGTGGCATCCTCGTTGGGGATGACAACGAGGGGGTTGATCTCGAGGTAGGTGAACTGGCACTCGACGTAGACGGCGTACAACCGGGTGATGAAGTCGACCAGCACGTTGTGAACACCCTTGGGGACCTTCTTCAACAGAGCCGCGGCGATCTCGTCGTTGGAAGGGTATTGTGAAAGGTCAACGGGGATCAAGAGCTTCTCAGCCTTGGCGTCAACATCACCGACATCAACACCACCCTCGTGGGTGAAAAGAATCCAGTCGCCCTATCACAGTCCACGATTAGCATCAATTATTTGATATGATGGTTTGACAGATGAGGCATAAGGGCCGCCGTGTGCATATGGGAACTTCTGCAAGAGGCATGGGTGGACGGGGTGGACGGGCCACAGGCCTCGTCTCGTGGCATCCGTTCGTCCGGTTCGGGAGAAAAATTACCGGAAAGGGCAGTCCAGCGGCCGGAATCCACTTATTTGACCCATGGATAGGAAATGCCATAAAGCATGCAAATTCCTTCTCATGGTTGCCAAACAAAGTTCTCTTCCAGTTATTCTCACTTTCAACCGTCGATGAGTTTCACTTTGCAGTGTGTTGTGTGGTGTTTTCACACCTACACGACTCATTGATGGACTGCCCACTCCGGCCCCGCCAACGAATTGGAGAAGACGGCCCGCCACGCCACGAACCAACGGCCTCTGCCAAAAAAGCAACCGCACAAGCTCGAAGGGACAGGAAATTTGCAACAACTTACATCTCTGACGGACATGATGTTGATGTAGTACTCGGTGTCTTGGGGATGAGGAACGAAGGGCTCGACGAGGAATTGGCGCAGGACACCAGTGACGGTCTCGACCTTCTGCTCCTTACCAGCACGCTCGGCGATCCAGGCCTTGGCCTCGGGCCAGGTCTTGTTGAGGGCCAGGAGACCGCTCTTGCCACGGCGCTTGATCAATTGATCGGGCTTGGCGACGAACTTGACACCGGGCTGGAGAACCCAGGGGTAGGTGACCTCAGCCTGGTTGAGGACATCCATGACGTCGGCATCCTCAGGGAAGTGCAGAGAGCACAACCTGGGGGGAGGGTTGTGCTTGGTGGGGACGGGAAGAGGAGAGGCCTTGATGACGGGAGCGCGAGTGAGGTGGTAGTTGAGGATGGCCTTGCCGTCGGCCTCGAGGATGGACTTGGCGGACATTCTGGCGGTTGTGAGGTGAGAGAGGTGAGTTTTCTTGAGGATCTTTTCTCTGCTTTATTTTGGCCTGAATTGGGAGCGGACTGGTCAGCAATTGCTTTGGGAAATGAATTGGTATTTGTGTGGCTGTTGGGCTCGGAACAGGAGTTGGAGTTCCACTGGCCCGTCAGCAAGAGGCTTTCCTTCAGCTGAGCTTCTGGGAGGAGCTTCGTGGGCGGCAAGTGTCACCACCGCAAGCGGAACACTCAAGATGCTCGCGCCGAGCTCTGGAAGAGGGGCATTCGCGACCCAGCTGGAGCCTCGGCTGGGAGGGGGGAAAGTCGAGACGACGAAGTTGAGCTTTGGAGGGGGAAGACTGGGGCGAGGAACATACCTAGAGAGAGAGAGAGAGAGGGAGCAAGTGCAACCAGGCGACGAAGTCGAAGTCTGGGGACGAAGTTTTGGTGAAGACCTGAAATCAAGTGAATGTCAGGAATCGGAGGGTCGAGTCGAAGTCGAGTCAAGCAGAGCGGTGTGAGAGGGAAGAAAGAAGCGGCGAGGTTGAAGGAGAAGTATGGATTGGGGAGTGGAAGGATGGAGTGGAAGGAGAGAAGCTGTGCGTGGAGAGAGAGGGAGGAGATCGTCAGCCTTTCAAAATTTTGGATTCTGTCGAAGCTCCCAGGGATTATTTGTTGCTGGGACTTCGGGGAGAGGAAGGAGAGGAAGAGCGGACGAGGAGGAGGGGTGTGGTGTGGTGTGGTGGGAGGGGGGGGAGGGGTGAGAAAGAGACGGAACAGAGAGAAGGAGGAGGTACATCATGGGGCAACGAAGCGCTGCCCAAGTACCGACCGGGATTGTGTACGGGATGTACTCAATGTGTGAGGTGTGTGGTGGTGGTGGCTCGAAAATCGGTGGATTCACCCACCTAGCACCTTGAGGGAGCTAAGGGACCACGCCAAAAAGTTTTGGGGTGGTGCGCGTTGTGCGTGCAGTGAGGGAAAATGGTGCGTGCATTGGAAGACCTGTGAGAATCTCTCGCAAGCTCCGGGAGAGGGAAAAGAACTGGGGGGGAGGGGAAAGTATTTTTGGGGACCGGGTGTATTTTTTGGAGGGGGTGGGAATTCGAGGTGGCATGGCTTGATGCTTGGGAGGAAGCTCCAGCTGTCCATGCACGCTACCCCTCGATGGCGGTGGCAGAACACACGACACTCGACATATCCGCAAAAAGCAACAACAACCTCGAAAAAAACGGGTGGGAAAGTGCAAGTGCAGGGGCAGGTGCAGGGAAAGGGAAAGGGAAAGGGGAACGGACAGGCAAGTACCTGTACCTGAACCTGCCCTACCCTTTTCGTGCTTCAATGTTGGACTCACCTCGAATTGTCGTGTGAGGATTACAACAAGGTAGGCAATAAAGGGATGGAGGGGGTTGAGAGGGAAATGCTGGCAGGGAAATTCGACCAAGTTGGACAAGAAAAAAAAAAGTCTGGGGAGGGGGAAAAGGTGGAAAAAAAAAAAAAGAGACAGGCAGTGGTTGTTGAGAGGTTTAAGTGGATCTCTCGTCTCGTACCTTTGGAAAGTCACTTTTGCTCACTCACTGACAATCTTGCAGGTTCTGACGAGTGAAGACTGAAATGAGAGTCTCTGTGAGAGGATCGGAACTGGGCGAAAGAAAGCGAACGGCAACAATTATCGATTTCCCCTCCCAGGGGGCGCAAGGGCGGCATTTTTACAGACCACAGTGGCACACAGCACACAGCACACAGCAAGTCTTGGACGGTGACCTCCTCCCGCTCTTTCCCGGATGATGGATCGATGCAACCCCAGCGCCAGAATGTCCGCCGAAAATCGCAGGGACCGCCATTTTTACACCTACCTGACCTTACTGCATTGTTGTGCTCATCACTATGGACACTGATTTCAACATGGTTCATGGTCCATGGCCCATCAACATGGTGCGGTGCAGGTGCACGACAGCCGAACGGGAGAGGGAACGGGGCGGAAGACAGACAGACAGACCACTGCTGGATGGAGCTTGGGGACGTTGCCGGTGCGGTGCGAAGCGGTACGGTGCATCATCCTCGTCGCCCAGTCGCTTACACCGGTTGTGGTCTTCCAATGCTTCCAGATGATTCTCCATTCTCATGGGTTGGGGTTAACCTACATTACACTACCCAAGGCTTGGAGGGGTCTGTTTCTGTTTCTGTCCGTCCCCCCGTATCCGATCGAGATCAGGATCAGAGCCCTTGCCAAAACGAACCGAGAGAAAGGAAAACCGTTGCTTATCCACCGGCAGCCAGCGGGAGACTGAGAGTCGCGTTTCCAGTACTACCGATTCGAGGCACTCGAGCGCCGCGGGATGACTTTGATTTTCGGACGTTTCTCATCTTGTGCGTGGGACAACGGACGGTGGCCCGGATGTCAGGTCAGATCCCCCAAATTCGGTGTCAGTCAGAGTACGGAGCACACAAACTGGTCCAGGAACCGGGCATTGGCGCCTTAATTAGCCATGGCGCTGGGATTGGCACCTTTGGGACGACCAAGCACAGTCATCAAATCAACCTCGAGTGAGACGTTGGACTGCCTGGTCAGACGGCACATCGACCCCTACTCGTTCCTCGCTCCTATGGCTACCTAGGTAGGTTCGCTCAAGATGGCCTGGCCCTGTCATTTTCAAGAACAAGCCCCCGAGCCACGACAAGAAGCCATTGGCGATGGTAGTGTTCCCGTACGAGTGAGAGTGGGAAGAAGAAGTGAACCACTCCCTATTACTCGCGCATCCGTACACACATTCGGGTATCTTCAAGTGAAAGTGCGCAATGCCCGGTGATCGGCGGAGTGACGATGGGGAGGACCGAAAACCGGCGGAGGTGGATGCGGCATGCCGGGTTTCGGGGAATGCGAGCATGGGTGCTGAGATGCCCGTTTGGGTCTTTTTTTCTTTCTCTGTCTTTCTCTGGTTGTCCTAGTCGCGAGTCTTTTGAGTGCTTTTTTTTTTCTCGTCTCCGTCGCCGTCGCCGGTCTGTTTCGGCCGTGGTTTCTACGCGGCGCTTCGCAATTACGACTATCGCCGCAGTGTTCCGTCTGCAGTGTCCTTGATTTTCGAATCTGAATTTTCTTCCAAGCGGGTATCTTGCTGCTGCTTCTTTTCCCTCTTTGGTCGAGTTGAGTAAGGTACCTTACTGTGTAGTGCATCATCCCAAGTGGTCTTGTACTCGTACATACCTGGATGGCTGCACAACATCGTCTCTTCCCCATTTCCCTGAGTGCGTATGCCTACACACTTTCTCACGCACACAAAATCCCACACAGGCTTCGAAATACCTCGATCCCTTGGCTGACGGTAACCACCCTCCAGTCGCATGCAGCGATGGAGGGAATACGGGCAAGAAGGCGAGGCTGTTTTAGCGACCGCCTCGCCCCCACTCGGACAGGCGAGCCTCTCTCACTGCTGCTACCTGATGGTGCGGTGTAAGCCCTCTTGTTGGTCGTATATCAACAGTGTCTGGATAGGCGTGTGCTTGGATGTGTGTGTGACCCAGTCGTGTTCAGACTGATTACATCCCAGAAGCCATCCCGGCGGCCAAGTTGGCGAATGCCGATCCTCCCTGACAATCCAGTCCGAGGCCATTGGGCAAGACTCGAAATGCGGTCAAACCAAAGTGTAGGCTGCTGCATTCCCGAAATCCCCTGGTGCGTCAAGGTACGATAAGAGAGAGAGAGAGAGAGAGAGAGAGCTATGGGCGCCTCCCGACGGAGGGATTGTTGCGGTCAAGCGCCAGCGCCAGCGCCAGCCGAGCCGACTTGGTCTCAACTTGGACTGGTCGGGGCGGGGAGCTCCCGGAACTGGGAACTTGGGAGACGAGAGACACAACCGCCATTCGATATTGACACTGACATTGCGGTGACCGGCGGGCGGACGCCGCCCGTCTCACTTGTCGAGCTCCCTCTTTATCTGTCGGATGATGCATCTTTTGGGTGCGTGCCTGTTCTCTGTTCTACTTGTTTCTGCCCAATGTTTCTGAGAGGTGCGAGTTGCGCCAAACTAGAAAGAAAGGAACCGAAGACTGAGAGTCAGGGCTTGTGCAGGTACGCAGGCAAGACCGCCAGCCCGTCCGCGGATGGAGCTTGTACCGGTACCTGGTCTATCCGCAGTTGCAGCGTCCGTCTGGGCTCAAGCTCAGGTCCAGCCCAGCGAATGCAAGACTGCAAGGCAGTCGCGGGCAGGGCAGCTTCCTTGGGGCAGAGAGCATTGAATTTAGGTGAGGTGAGCTCCAATTTTGGCAAGGTGCTTGGCCACTAGCAGTCTAGCGCCCCCCAGGTACGGGCCTTGCTACCCTGTGCAAGTCTTGTTTTCTGCCCGGTCCATGGCGGTACGTACTCGGTAAGGTGAGGTCGCTGTGGGGTCCGCCAGAAACAAGCGGGGACCAAGGGTCCTTGCCCGTTTGCCTGGTTGGTGCGTGCCTTGCCCGGTCCCATCGCATCTCCCTTTTTTCGCCTTTTCCCTTCCCTGCCCGCTGGCCAATTCAACACTTCAACAATCCACGAGCCAATCATGTTGTGGCATTGGTCGGGAACTTCCCCAACTCTTTCGGCCGTCGCATGACGGAAGTCTCCATTTTCCCAATTCCCATTCCCCATCACCCCTCCATTCCACGCACCACGTACCACGAAGCACCACACCCGCACCACAGTCCAAACCCAAGAGAAAAAAAAAAGTCTCAGGCTTCTCTCTCAATGGCCCGACTTTGGCTGATTTGTGTCACTGCGCCGTCAAGCCGTCCCAAGAAATTCACCGGGCCCTGTACCTGATCCGACGCAGTGCCGGCCATACTGATCGCCCGTACCTGCCGATGTCAAGACCCCTCCGCAAAGTACCTACCTACCTTACCCTTCACCACAATGGAAGTCCACAACCACCACAAAAGTCACCCCGTTGCTGGTTCACCACTTCTGCCCGCCCGTTCTGTTCCTGCCGCTGCAAAGCATTGTTTGGCATTGTTGGAGACCAGCCATTATTGAGATTGGGATTGGACCTTGTCTATCTGATCTGGAGCTACCTTGATCTGGTCTTGTCTCGATAAGGACGTGTACAGATACGGATACCTTCCTTACCTTAGGTAGCGTAGGTACTCTACGTGGTCGTGTGTGCTTGGGCAAGTGCTAAGTTACTCAGGTACCTCTTTCCCAGGTTGACTTTGACTCGAACGCGAACCTGCCCCTTCTCTCGTTGCTCGTTGCTCGTTGCTCCCTCGGATACTTGGGACGCAAGCCCGCCAAAATAATCCCTGCTCACCATCACCTCACACAAACGCAGACGCACCGCACCGCCTACGCACTACGCACATACGCACAGCACACCGTTCGTTCGTTCCTCCCACTCCCTTGCCGATTCCCGCTGGAGAGAATCCGACCTAGCAAGAAGCAAAGAAGGAACAGAGAGAAACCATACTACGGAGAAAAATACTTGAAAAAAATACCAATTCCACCTCACCTCACCAAACTCACACACCCTGCTTGGTGGCCCGTCTCCGTGCTCCTCAACTACTTACGACACCCGACCTCCGTCCTTCTTCTCCTCCGACCCTCGCTCACTCGACTTTCTCTCTCTCTTTTGCTCCCCTTCCCCCCTTCTCTCCCTCACCCTCTTGCTCTTGAGAAGCTTCTTCTTCTTCTCTTCCCCCCCACGCCAATCCCTTTTTCTCACCAAAGGATCCCTCCGTCAGCTCGACAAAAAAAGAAGCTGGACTTTGCCGTTGTGCGCCGCTGCTTGATCCATCCATACACCCTTACCAGGTTAGACAACAGCATCACCGCCAGGTCAGTTACCGCTCCCCGAATCCTACCCACCCCGGTCATGTCAATCCTGCCCCTCCGACGCCTCTTTCCCACCTCCGAACGGTTCACACACACCTCATCCTACTTCCACACCCGCTCGCCGCCGCACCTCGCATCAGACACGACCAGGACCAAAAAAAAAAAGTCTCTCCCACCAAGGAGCTGGGGCTACGCCAGCTACAAAGGTCCACTTAATGTCTGGTGGTGTCCCCAGCTGCCGATGGATGAGCATGTAGCCTCGCAGATCCAACGATTTCAGCTTCCTGAGCGAACTGTCGTCTCTCCGAGTCCCTCCTGAAATCTCACCTTCTCCCCACCATAATTCCGACTCGTTTGTTTTCCACCAAACTTCCTCTTACTCCTCCTCCTCCACCTTCTACCTTTCCAATCCTTACTTTGGACACTTTCCTCCTTTCTCTCTTCGCGGGCAGACATCTATAGACTTGTTTCTGGCGCCCATTGTCTGCTTCAAGCTTGCTGACCTTGTTACCCCTCGCCAGACTTTTTTCTTCTTCCCTTGTTGAGACTCTCATCCTCGCCGACGAAGCTCGACTTTCTTCACAATGCCTTCGGCCACCACCCCCGCTAACGGTGCCAATGGCGCCAAGGCAGCCAGCGGCCTGTCTGCCAACGACAACATCACACGCTTCTCGGCTCCCAGCCGTCCCTTGAGCCCTCTCCCCGAACACGCTCTGTTCAACGACAAGACCAGATGCTTCGTCTACGGTCTGCAGCCCCGCGCCGTGCAGGGTATGCTCGACTTCGACTTCATCTGCAAGCGCAAGACTCCCTCCGTCGCCGGTATCATCTACACTTTCGGTGGTCAGTTCGTCTCCAAGATGTACTGGGGAACCAGCGAGACCCTTCTGCCCGTCTACCAGGAGGTCAACAAGGCCATTGCCAAGCACCCCGACGTCGACGTTGTCGTCAACTTCGCCTCCTCTCGAAGTGTCTACACCTCCACCATGGAGTTGATGGAGTTCCCCCAGATCAAGACTATTGCCATCATTGCTGAGGGTGTCCCCGAGCGCGTAAGTCTAGCTTCTTCTCCTCCTCCACCTCTCCCTGAAGATTCGCACCCCGCTAACAAGCCATCAAGCGCGCTCGTGAGATCGCCCACAAGGCTCAGCAGAAGGGCATCACCATCATTGGCCCTGCCACTGTTGGTGGTATCAAGCCTGGCTGCTTCAAGATCGGTAACACTGGTGGTATGATGGACAACATCGTTGCCTCCAAGCTTTACCGCAAGGGTTCCGTTGGTTATGTCTCCAAGTCTGGTGGTATGTCCAACGAGCTCAACAACATTATCGCCAACAACACCGACGGTGTCTACGAGGGTGTGGCCATTGGTGGTGACAGATACCCCGGAACCACCTTCATCGACCACTTGCTCAGATACCAGGCCGACCCCGACTGCAAGATTCTCGTCCTGCTCGGTGAGGTTGGTGGTGTTGAGGAGTACAAGGTCATCAAGGCCGTTGAGGATGGTGTCATTACCAAGCCCATCGTTGCCTGGGCCATTGGTACCTGCGCTAGCATGTTCAAGACTGAGGTTCAGTTCGGTCACGCCGGTGCTTTCGCCAACTCCACCTTGGAGACGGCCAAGACCAAGAACGAGAAGATGAAGGAGGCTGGCTTCTACGTCCCCGAGACCTTCGAGGAGATGCCCCAGGTCCTCAAGGCTCTCTACGACAGCCTCGTCAAGAACGGCACCATCAAGCCCCAGCCTGAGCCCGTTGTTCCCAAGATCCCCATCGACTACTCCTGGGCCCAGGAACTCGGTCTCATCCGTAAGCCCGCTGCCTTCATCTCCACCATTTCCGACGACCGTGGTCAGGAGCTCCTGTAC